TCCCGTTTAAACGCACTACGGTCTAACAGTACAATAATTTGTTTTTTTTCTTTTGGGAAATGAACTATCACTATTTTTTTTAGGACCGTCCTCTCGACAATTTATTTAATAATAAGACGGTTTACATCAGACTGCATAACAGCAATCAGAAACTCAGGGCATACATCAAAAGTGGTTACAGTCGAGGGAGAAACTAAACCCTTCTTTGCACAGCAATGAGCAGCCTCATTGGCTTCCCTTCAAACTATCACTAGGGCCTCTTTTGGTTCATAGGATAGGATTATCATAGAAATAGGAATCTTGTAGGAAATAAGATGACATGTATCTCAAATCTTATGAGTAGAAATAGGAAACAAGATGTCATTTTATTTTTCTATGAAATGTGGAGGATAGGAACCAATCCTATGTAGGAATAGGAATCCATTCCTATGAACCAAAAGGCTCTAAAAGAAAAAATCCTATAAAAATCTTATCTGAATTCCTATGAAATTCCGCCTAACTGGGACCCGTTTATTTGCCATTTCGGCGCCTCTGAATAAAGGGTTAATTGGATCTATGCCACTACAATTTTCGTAAGTTGGAAATATGCCATTACAAAAGCTCAAGTTGGAAATATGCCACTACAACTTCCCCGTACATCTATCTATGCCATTTTCTCAACTTAAACCAATAACGGTTCAAATAATACATGTATTCTGGTTTGTACTGACGTATTTACCATACTACCCCTGTTTCCAACTTTCATCAGCACGTTTGGGACTTCCCGGCGCCAAAAAGTTCAAATAATTCAAATTTTGGCAAAAAAATTGAACTTCTCAAAAAAATCTAAAAAAATTACAGAAAATCATGAACAATATTATGAGCCTACTGTTCAAATCTGAGCCATTTCTGTGCACATATGGGTCCTTAAACTGACATGCAAATAATCTGGCCAGAAACTTCAACAGCATTTCTGCTCGGTTTAATACAAATTAACAAGCACAATTCATATCGATTCATAAACAGGTTCACAAGCAAGATTTAATTGAGTAAATAGGTTCACAAGCACGATTTAGTAGAGTAAATAGGTTCACATAAACAGGTTCACAAGCACGACTTAATTTCGGCAGCCGCTAGCCACCAAGCCAATAAAGAAGGCTTCTTTTTGCACCATTTGTAGGCTGCCCTTCTGGAGGTGGAGGTGGAGGTGGAGGTATAACCGGCGCAAATGGAACATTCTTCTTGACTTTCTTCCCTTTAGATGTCTTCTTCTTGGCTTTCTCTTGTGATGCAACTTTCTTCACGGGGGTCTTCTTTTTGGTTTTCTGTTGTGTTGTAGCTTTCTTCATAGGAGTCTTTTTCTTGGTCTTCTCTTCTACCGCAGCTATCTTCACAGGTGTCTTCTTCTTGGCTGGTGCATTGACCTTTTCAGGTGCCTTCGGCTTCTGTGGAGTTGTTCTGGCCCTTTTCCTGCATTGACAACATGTGTTTTAGATTGAGTAATCATAGATTAAGACAAGTGCAGTAATTTACCTTATAAGATTAATAAGGACTTCATCATCTGTTGCATCACCATCTGTTGTAGCCGTTGTTTCACCACATTTCTTCCTGCGGTACAAACAAGAGAAATCAGTTTTGTGATAGATTAGTCATGAAAACAAATTTAGAAAATACTTATGCTGTAGCAGATGTTGCATTACCTTTTGTTTGTAGGTGTAGATGGATCCTCTATAGGTATATCATCATCTACCGCCATATATTCAGGATTAGGAACCTTGCATGTCTTCTGCATGTGCCCAGGTTCACCACACCTCTTACACTTGACTATTTTCCTTCCAGGCTCTAGCCATCCTCTAATTCTCTGAACTCGTGGCCTACCAGCCACTGTTTGCTGCAAAGGAGGGTGGACCTTGACACCCAAATCCACTTGGATCCACGGTGACTTATCTGTCATGGAAGGGATATTCCCAGCATACGCTGCCTTGAACTTATCCACAGAATAGTAATCATCCACATATGTTTGAATCTCAGCACCATTGATGCTACAAATGAAGGCCAGTGCATGCATGCATGGCTTTCCTGAAACTTGCCAAACTCTACAAGTACATGTTCTATCTTTCAAGTTGACAAATGTGTCTTTTGACAAATTTGAGATCCAACAACGTGACTTCTGCCTCATGTTCACTGGTCCAAAGAATCTTGTTTCGACCAATGGTTTTGCTGAGAGCATTTTAGCTGCTTAATGACATGAGGAAGAATCCTACCCTTTAGCTGCTTACTTACTTGTCCTCTAATATAGAACTTCTCTGTGATGATCTCCCTAATTTTGTCAAAAAGGTTCAGGACATTGAGCCCTTTGAAGTCTTTTATTTGCTTGTTGAAACTCTCGGATATGTTGTTTGTCAAATAATCAACCTTACTGGCCTCTCCAAAACCACATCTATACCACAACCTATTGTGATGAATATCTAGATATTCAATAGCCGCTGGATTTGCATCCTGGATTTTCTTCATATGATGCATAAAATTTCGACGTGAGAAAGACCGTGCAGCTGGATAAAGATTATCTGTGTACACTTTACCATGGAATTTCTTCATAAAATTTGCATACAAGTGCCTCATGCACTCTCGGTTTTCACAATTAGGAAAGACAAGGTCAATGGCAGTCTCTAATCCTTTGCATGCATCACTAGAAATAACAAGACCGGTGGGGAACCTATAGCTCTATGCAATTGTTTCATGAACCATTTCCAGTTTTCACCGGTTTCAGAATCAAACACAGCAAATGCTACATAATATAGCCAGTTGTGCCCATCTACAGCAGTTGCTGATGCTAACTGGCCCTTAAACTTGCCATAAAGTGCTGTTGAGTCCACACCAACATAAGGCCTACAACCAGCTAAGAAACCATCGATGCAAGGCTTGAATGCAACAAACATTCTGTTAAAATGGTATTTGTCTCCATTTTTTAGGAGCTCTATCTCTACAATACTCCCTGGGCATTTATGTTCTATCTCAGCTTTCCAGTTAAAAAGCAATGGAAAACAATCTTCATAACTACCATGGATTTGATCAAGGGCTACCTTCATACCGTACCAAGCCTTGTTGTATTTCAGCTTGATGTTGAACTCATCTTCCAACTTCCCTTTGGCGTCTTTTGCACCAACACCAGGATTTTTCTTCACCCAATCCCCAGTCTTATCTGCAATCCATCCTTGTGAAGCCATTTTGCAAATTGATAATTTTGTAATGGGACAGTTGTGCTCAAATGGAAGCGTTTTTATCTGCAAAAATCACAAGGACTACATAAATGAGATGCAACAAAAAATAACTACATAAGATAAATAATAGCATTAGACAACCCATACCATGACTGTTCTACCATCTTGCAATGTGGATGCATGTATGCGCCATGGACATGGCCCATGTGCACACTCAGCAATGAACCTAGTTTTGTCCGTTTTGATTTTAGCCAACTTAAACCCAACTAAAATAGCACGTTGCCTTATAGCTTTTCTGAAAGTCACAATGTCAGGAAAGAGAGCCCCAACCCTGATGTCTGGGTTCTCAATGTCATGCACCACAGTATAGCCTGCAGGATCAATATCAACCACTTCTTCCTCCTCGTGGTGCACAAATACATCAGCGCCATCATCCTCTTTCTCCTGAATGTTGCTGCCCTGCTCAACAGATGCTGTTGGGACAAGGGCAAATGGCTCAACAATATACATGTACTCATCATCTACCCCTACGTACTCCTCAACCATGTCAAATGGGTCAGTTTCTACATTCTGGGCAGATGGCTCTACTTGTGCAGATTGCTTTAATGGTGTGTTTGCATGAGATGGTAAGGGACAATCTTGCGTATCCATCAGCAGCACATCATTGTCAGAAATAGTTGCTTCAGGCACATGAACAACATTGTCAACGACGGGTACAGGAGTTTCAGAATCAGAGTTATCAAGCACAACAACAGCCAATGTAAGCTTCTTCTCTGCTCTGTACATGTCAAACATCACATGAAGTTGATCCTTATGAGTTAGTCTAACATCTTGCGCCATTATCATGTCAAAATACCACACAGTAACACTCTGATTCCTGCCAACTCTCAGCTCAGCACCTAAGCCATCCATTAGCACATCAATTGTGAAATCCTCCGAGTCTACGTTCCATCTAATTGTTTTCCCTTTCACATATGATTTCCTACCGCTCAGTTCCTTCAATAGAAACCCTTGAAGAACTAGGTCTAAGCTAAAAATATTCGTTGGCTCCAACCTACAAGTTTCAGGTAAAAATAGCACAGGTAAAAGGCTATTTCAATTAACATCTATGGAAAAAATTCAATCAATAAGAGAAGGTGTTGGGGCATGAGGTTCAGGCGTGACGTTGGGGCTCGGGAACTCACTCGTACGGCGACTTGGGGGTTGGCGACTCCATGGATGTTTCAGCAGCCGCAGCAGCGCGAGCCAACAGCCGGGAGCCTGCTCCCCTCCGACGCGGGCCACTGCCGTGCCGCGCAGCTCCAGTCGCCGCAGGCCGCGGCGCCCGCCTCCCGCCGCCTTGGGCCCCGCCGCGTCGCGCCCAGCGGCGCGAGCGAGCGAACAACCGTGAGCCGCGACGCCCGCCTCCCGCCGCCTTGGGCCCCGGCGCGTCGCCCGCGCCTCCAGCCGCCGTCGCCCGTGCCTCCAGCCGCCGCTCGCTAGGGTTGCTGTGCGTGAGTCGGGGTGGAGATTGGATAAGATGTGTGTGTGCTAGCTGAGGGGGTGTGTCAATTGGATACGTATGGATGTGGGGCCCTATGGATGTATATCCGCACGTATATGGGAAGTATATGGCTGAGTATTGGAGAAAATGGCATAGATAGATGTATGGGGAAGTTGTAGTGGCATATTTCCAATTTGAGCTTTAGTAATGGCATATTTCCAACTCACGAAAATTGTAGTGGCATAGATCCAATTAACCCCTGAATAAAATCGCGGGAATCGCCGCGCTCCCAACCAATTTGCAAGAGACCACTTCCCATGGAGCCGTGGCTGCCGGTGCTCCGCCACATGCTCGCCTCCTCCGCCCCCAACGCCGCCGCCTTCTCGTCCTCGAGCAGCAGCCCCTGCTCTGCTCCTCCGGCTGCGGGCCTCCTCCGCATCCTCCTCTCCCCGGTACCCACGCTCCCCGCCGCCGAGCCCACGGCCGTCCTCTTCCAGACCCTCCCGCCCTTGCTTCAGTCCCAGGCGCTCTCCTTCCTGTCCTCCTCCGCCTCCCTGCTCGACCCGCTCCAGCTCCGCTCGCTCGCCTCTCGCGTCCTTTCTGCCCCGCCCGGCCGGTGTGATGAATTCTGGGTCCGCCGGGGCGCCCACCACCTGCTCGACGGATTGCCTGACAAAGACGCTCCTGATGTCCCCTGGGAGTTTAACGAGGAGTTCCACGAGCCACCGCCGTGGCTTAAAGAAGAGGCGGCGCGGACACCACCTGTCCTTCCGTGGCTGCCTCTCGATTGCCGGAGCTTGATGCCTGGTGGGGCCCGCGTCGGCGGGGATGGTTTAGATGGAGTTGGGTTGGAGTCTCTGGGGCTGGAGCAAGATGAGTATTCGTTCATACAGGAGGAGGTTGGGCGTGCTCCTTCTCCTCCGTCTCCCCCACTTGGAAATTCAGTCGTTCATAAGGCTCTAGCTCTGAAGAAGGAGATTGAGATGTCAGAGTCAATTTTGGGTGCTCAGCAGGCAGCGAACAATTTGCATGATCTCTGCCTTGAATCCGGGAATGCTGAGGCAGTACTTAGCTTAGTGCAGCCATGGGAAGCTGATGATGACACAGTGAGGGTTCTGCTTTCAAATGTGGTACTCGAGGAAGATGGGATGCATGGAAAAGGGCCGGCACTTGTGCTGTGTTCTCTTATCCTACCGAAGTTACTTGACCTTCAAAGAGCAGCTTCATCTGGTCTTCTTTCTGCAGCATTAGATGTCTGCAAACGTCACCCAGCTGCTGCACTGGAGGCTGTCCTCTTCCCACTAGTTCTTAGAAAACAAGGCCTGAATGCTCCTCAGTGCGATGTGCTCACACGGATTGTCAGGGACTGCATGCATCCTTTGCATGTCACCGCCTTCTGTCATAGGTTGCTTTCAGGGGAGGAGGGAGAGAGGAAACCGATTTGTATGCCTCAGCATCGGGAAAATATTGGCCGCGATTTGGTCTGGACAGAATCTCTCTTTGCACTATTCTACAACATTCTCAGTCAAGACATTTGCCTAACACCAAGCACCATCGAGAAGCTAGTGTACATGATTGATGATATGGCAATAAAGTTTCCAAAGTCGCTTAAATTTGGCAACTTTTTCCTGTGCTTCGTCTCGAAGTGTTGGCATGAATGTAAGATTCACAGGGTTTTACTTGAGACAGCTGCCGAGACAACCAACACTTTTTTGACTAAAGCTATTCTGGTCAAACTGCGGCCTGCTAATTGAAGTGATGTCTTGAGTGTTTAATGATAAACTCCTGGTGGGCTGCATGCCATTCAGATTAACCAAGTATGTAATTGTTTGGAACACTGTTTTGTTTGATTTTTTAAATGGACAGCTTTTGTAGTTCGAGAAATCATTGCTTCATATATACAGAGTAGCAATTATTTACTATGAAAATGTTATTAACACAAAGTACATAATTTTGTTATGCACGACTCAAGTGCAACAATTGACTTTCGCAATGAATTTATGTTCAGTTAAGTATAGGATTTCTTGTAAGGGCTGTCTTTGACTTGTGAAATGGACAGCTTCTGTAGTTCCAGAAACAATTGAACAACATGATGCATATACACAAAGTAGCAATTAATTTACTCTCAAAAAGGCATTACCAAAAAAATCTGTTATATATGACTCAAATGCAGCAAGATTGGAGATTGTCATGAAATCTAGGATGTCCAGTATAAGAGAATGATTAAGCCAGTTTAATTTTAACCCGAGTGGTAAAGCTGTTGCCTTGTGACCATGAGGTCACGGGTTCGAGTCCTGGAAACAGCCTCTTGCAGAAATGCAGGGAAAGGCTGCGTACAAAAGACCCAAAGTGGTCGGACCCTTCCCCGGACCCTGCGCAAGCGGGAGCTACATGCACCGGGCTGCCCTAATCTTAACTGGAGTTTAAGTCTAACAATTATCCAATGGTCAATTTCAGTTCTACCTACCCAAGACCATAGTTCTCGATGTGGTATCTATGCATTTGATGCCTTAATGGTAGTTTGTTAAATTGTTATGCTCATATGATGTTTTTCTATCAGTGTAGGATTTGTTATTATATCGCTGTTAACCATGATTCTCTATCATAGGCACACAGATATGTTCCTGGTGCCCAGGTCATGCGTTTTCAGATTCAGTTAGCTCATGAGTAGGTTCCGCTTCTTTCCCCCTCAAACCGAGTAGTTTTTGCTCTTGAACTAATCAGCCGTGGTCTCGTGGATTGGAGATATTTTCTAGCACATACATGTTTCCTGTTACTGTTTTGTTGCTATACAAATATTCTGAGTTATATTTGATATGGCTTTTCATTAGCGTAGTCAGCGTGACTGCCAGTTTAAAATGCAAACAACTTTACTAAGCTCTGGGATACATTGTCTATTGTAGCTTTGTATATTTCCATAGCATGAGTGCAACATTGTATAGCCTGCAGCTATTCTTTCTCGGCTATCATTCAACACTTCCATTACAGAAAAGCAAATATACAGGTAATTGAGCAGTTTATTAACGGAAATAAGACTGACAACAGAAATACACAATACAGAGTTTGAGGAGTTTCACTTGTCTTTTGCTCAAGGACGGTACATAAAGTGGCTTTTGACACAAGTCATTTGAATACCATCTTCGTAGTTTGGAACCTTGATACCTTGTCTGTAAACTTGGTAGCAGAATAGAAATTAAGGTAGTCTTGGAAACGGTATTGGCTAGGATATGTGAGATTTGGAGCTGGGAAGATTATAGCATCTGCACCTGGGTTATAGAATGTCGCAATAGATAGGCGGCTCCCGTTCTGATTGGGAAGTACCTGATGGCAAATGCTCTTATATATTCCATTGCTTATCACTTCAATCTGATCTCCGAGGTTTACGAAAATTCTATTTCCTTTTGTTGGTGGTATTGAGATCCACCTACCATCTTTCATGAACTGCAAACCTGGGACCAAGTCATCTTGAAATAGAAGTATGATTCCCCCAGCATCGGTGTGTCCACGGAGTCCCATCACTACTTCTGGATGGCTACACCTGGGGTATTTTGCCACCTTTATGCCTATGGAAGGCTTAGTGAAAGCTTTCTTCAAGTAATTCTTGTCCAGCCCAAGATTTTCACTCATGACTTCTGCTAGCTGCTCGGCCAACTTGACTACTTCTTCAGCATATTCAGGAACTGTAGTACTGCACAGTTGATTAGTTTGTATTAGTACACTTACAAACTTCACAAACCACTAATTTCCTGTTATACTGGGCAGGTGAACTGTGGCTTATGGCGATACTACTATAATTTAGATTGCAAACTCACCGAAGCAGCTCCGGAATGTCATGAATGTTTGATTTTGGCTGGTGATGATACATGAAGCTGCATTCCCAGTCAACATTTGAGGTGACTTTGTCGGGACCAATGGTTTTTGCTATCTCAGAACTGTAGAAGTTCTTCTCCATGTTTTGCTCATAGTGTTTATTCACCAGTTTCTTGGTTCTGTCCATGAGGTCATCATTGATTCCATGATTCTCCAGCTGGCATAAAGTTATGCGCAGAACAAATGACAACAGTGAGAAGGTAGAGTGTAAATGCATTTCATCAATATAATGATCTTATATTTCCTTACTTACCCAAAAGAATCCCCATTGTGCACAGGCATCATGGAGAAGCGCAAGTGTCTCTGATCTCTTCTCGCCATGCAGCTCATCCATCTTTATCACTGGAATTTCCATTTCCTGGAACACTGCGTATGGATGTCTAGCAAAATGTGCTACCCTTCTCAAGTTGATCTGCTACAGCTACAGAAAACTAGGTATTTATAATGGCTGAGACACGAATGCTAGGAAATATATTTTTCCGGATTTCAGAACATGATGTAGTTTGAAAATGAAAGAAAGCTTGCTTCCACACGACACATATTTTAAATCATGTCCAGGTACATTTCACTATTGCCATGTGAGGTAGCCAGTATAACTGTATAACTTGTCTAGTATCCTTCAGAACTAATCATCATGGTGGTTGACTTATGAACTACACATGGTGCCTATTCACCCATCCTGTTTTACTTGTATATAAAAGTGAATGGTGGTGGCAGCCATCTTAGTTAGATTACAAATTACCTTCATTGGATCAGCCCCGCCGCCCTGAATCGTGGTGATGATGTTACTGCGGCACAGATCAGGGAGGAGTAAAATCTCAGTTTGGAGATCTTTCAGGTCAGACTAATCATGACTGTTGGTCTGACTTTCTGATTCAATGCATGAAGGCCTGTATGCAGAGTCAACCACATAATAACTTAAATTCATCCTCGATCAATTCGTTGCAGTTTCGTACGTCGATGTGAGCCTAGATTTTCTCAGGGATTTGCTAGATCGTGTTTGCAATTTTCTGAACTGCACTTGTCAGTTTTCTGCGGATTACTATTGAGCCCCTCTGGGAATACAAGATGATGTTTAATTCCCAGCTCCTAATGGTTAGCTGAATGCTGCCTCTCGTTACAAGTTGCCCCACTAATAGATTAGATAGCCTTTATTTTTCTTTAGTTTTGTTAACCTTTTGTACCCACAGAAAGCAAGTTGACATGGGTCGTTAGGCGGGGCTAGAATCTGCTGTGTTTCTAAGACCGCCGATCAATAACCCTAAAAATAAGATGCATCTGATATCTGAACACCGTTACATTTTTTCATTCCTGTTGAGGGGTTGAGGCTCATGTGATTGACTAAAGCCAATGGATGCTCTGTTGGTGCATGTTTATTTGCTGAGGGGCTTTTAACTTGTTTTCATTTCAGCTACCTGCAATTCCATTCCTTGGAACTGGGTGTAAAATTACTGTGGTCACTGATATCTAGTTGAAACTTGAGCTACTGTTTTCTTTAATAAGACGCACTTTGGTTGTCTTTTCTTTAGAATAATATAAATATTTACATGTAACCACACTGATTCCAAGGACGAAGCTTTTTTCTTTTTTCTTGAGTGACCGAAACTTATTTCCTTCCCCGTCATGCGCTTTGCCCTTTAGGCCACAACAAGTTCGGTTGGACACGTGTGTGCTCCTCCAACATCCATTCCTCCCTGATGGGTGATCGCTAGTTAGTCTGTCTAGCTGAGGAAAGAAGTCCACATAACCCTCTAGGGTTTCAGAAACCGCCACCCACAAACACTATGGGTAACCTCTGAAATCTTTAATACCATGCAAAGTACCCCCTAATCCCAATTAAGGCATCATTTCGTGACACCCCCCTCCCAATCCCTTGCTTTTTCTAGAACTCACACCAAGGAAATCGAGTGCAACATTTGGACGTTCTGATCCACGGGGTGTGCTGGCCCAAAACCCTCTCTTTCCTC